GACGTAATTCAAGACTTGGTTAAGGGCTACAACGCATCTATCCATTCAACGATACGTATGAGACCGAGAGATGTTAATTTGTACAATGCAGTCAAAGCTTATAAGAATATGACGAGTAAATTTCTAACTCATGATTTGCGTCCTAAATTTAATGTTGGTGATACCGTAAGAGTTTCTAAAGAAAAAGGAATATTCGATAAGGGTTATAAAAGCAACTGGACTGAGGAAATATTCAAAGTGGTGCGCATACTTAAACATCGACGGCCTATTGTATACGCATTGGAGGATCTTGCCGGTGAAATAATTACCGGTAGTTATTACGCTGAAGAATTACAAAAGGTAATAATAGGGGAGGACGACATATTCCTTATAGATAAAATCATTGACGCAAAGGGGAAAGGTTGTAGTCGACAAATGTTAGTCAAGTGGAAGGGGTATCCCTCAAAGTTCAATTCTTGGATTTTAGCCGATAGCATAGAAACATGGAAGTAAATGAAAGTTTCTATTTAACACTATGTTCGAACAGTTCAATGTCTTACTATCCAGAAAACACAACAACACGGTTCACTACACAATTGCCTGATGCCATTAATTTGAAAGGCGAATGGGAAGCAGCTCTAGTTGAAACTCAAATACCGATAACTTTCATTGCTATCAAAAATAGTCATATAGGTCAAGCCGATGTGACGCCGACGGTAAAAGAGCCTCAAAAACCTGAGGATAATAAAACTCAAAATAGAAGTTTTCAAAAAGGTGATGAACTTAAGAAAATGGCGCGTTCTCAAACAGAAAACACTGCTAAGAGCGGTAATGTTAGGAAAAATATCACGTCAATACATTTGTTACCTAGAGGAGAGTTTAAAAATATTCAAAACTCATCACAATCTATTAAAGAAGAAGATAGTGTTCAAACGAAGAATCCTGAGACTAGGAGACAGACTATCCATTTTTTTCCAAGCGGCGAATATGAAAATATTAAGTCTATAACGGATTTGTTGGATGAGCTTTTTGAGATCACATCAACATTGGGGTATTCAAGAATGAACGGCGTGTTTTTATAGATAGAATCTGCAAAAATTGTCCACAGACACACATTCTAGAGTTTCCAGAAGACCTTAGCAAAATATTAGGATTTTCAATTTCAACATTCGTCTTAAGTCCTACAGGCATCCACTTTATAAAAGCAGAAAACCCTGGCTGTATCACTCGAGGATTGCCGGGTCAGCTCTTTATATATTCCGACATCATTCTTCCCCATGTAGTCAGCGATGTTCATGCTCCACTCTTGCGCATTGTCGAATGTGACGCTCAAACACATCCTTTTGGGAGTACCCAGTCTAAGACTTTCGCCTGTCAATAATTTTTTACACAGTCTCTTCAGTCAAGTGGATGTATTTTTTAATCAAAAACTGGTATCACCACAAAGTAACACATACCCATACAGAGCATACATTGAGAATACTTTAAACTATGAGTCTACAGCGAAAA